TGCTACTTTAATTCTCATTATTACTATTATTATTATTAGTAGTGTTATTACTAATGCTATTGCCACTACTGCCACTAGTGCTATTATTTTTATTACTATTATCATAAGTACAGCTGTCTTTTTTTGTTGAATAAACCAATTTTCAAATCTTTTCAAATATTTGCCGTACTTTTTTCATTTCGAGAATATTTAACCGCACTTCGGTAAATATTTCGGATCATTTTATCAGAACTATTAGCTTTCTTTGGGTCTTATTTCGGACATGTTTATCACTTAAAAGATGGTTATGATACAAAAATGATGTTTCTAGTTATATAAATATGTAAGGCCTGAATAAAGTGAAACATTTTTTCCACAAATTTTCGGAATTAAATTAAATCGAAAAGTGAAGAAAAATGAATAAATGAAATTTAACAATAATAATAAAAATTATTATTCACTCAAGGATGCTTTTAAAAATTTTTAACAAATTTTTAAAGATGAAGAAGAGAAAAAAAGATATTTTTAAGCGAAATTAAACATTTGCATAAATATTTTGAATAGAATTGATTCATCGTTTCATAGCAATTTCTTCTCGAATGATTCAACAATTAAACATATGAATAAGATGCGATAGACCATTTTGACATTATCAAATCTTTCAATATTTTCAAAATTTTCAAGTTTCTTAAATTTCACATTTAATACTATATGATCCCTAGTTTTGTTTCGTCATTTAATTATTTCAATTTACTTCAATGTTATCTGAATTTTAAATTTTAAATTAAATCGTTGATTGCAACAAATTCAAACGAATTACTATCCTTTGTTGTTTTATTTATTTATTTTTTCATTCGTTCAATCAATGGAACGTTTTTCAATAAGTTCAAAAGAGAACGTCATAGGCCAAAGTTCAGCAAATCTCCCAGATAAATAATTCATATTTTATGAATTTCTTCTAAATTGCAAATGCGATGAAATAATGATGATGGTAATTAATCATAACGATGATGAAATTAATTTTTCAAATTCAAATGTAAGATTTTTCAATAAAGGAGTAAAGATTACTAAGTTGGATTTTTCAGCTATGGTAATAATGGTAATAATGATGATGATGTTGATGATGAAAATAATTTTTAAAACACTAAATGTAAATTTTTTACAGTTAGAAATTTTTTCAAAAAGAAATAAAGATCATAATGCTAGATTTTGTGCAATGATGATAATGATGATGATGATGATGATGATGGTGATGATAATGGTAATGATAAATGGAATGGAAAGCATAAAAGTTAAAATCGAAAGCTTTAAAAATAAAAAGTTTATTGCACTTTTTATTTTTTTCCAACATTTCAAATAATATTACCCAGCAGGATAAATACATTTGAAATTTATGTTTACCTAATTATTACCTAATGTTAACCTAATTAGTAAAATTAATGTTCACCTAATTATTGCCCACACTGCTACCGTTACTTTTCCATTTATCTCATTTTATAAATTTAAAATAGCTTTTTAATTGCTTTTCTACTTCTCTGCAACTACGAGAATGGATCATTTGGGAATTTTTTTTAATTAAATGAAAATTTGGGAAACTAAACCATTTATGAATGATTTTTTTTGGATGCCAAAAAAAATAAAATTTAAAATTAAAAAGTATCAGAATTTAGATTTCGGGTGTAGAAAATAAGCAAAATTAGATTTGAAAAAAAAACTAAAATTGAATTGAAAATTCAAGATAATAAAGGATAAAATAAAAATGAAGTAATTCATTCTTCCGCCGTTCATCAATAATCGCAATCAAATAAAAAAGAATAACTAAGATAAGATGACATTATCGTTTGTTTATATTTCTTTTCATTCGCAATGTTGACATAAGTGAAGGAATATTTGCAAATAATTCTTTTCACTAATAATACCATAAGATGATCAAAAATGATGATATTAAGAAAGTAATACGAATTAAAGTTCTACTGGACATAACGTTTGCTACTTAAAAGTGTAAAAAAAAAAGGATTTAAATCCGGTAAACGTGATGTTTACTACTTAGAAGTGCAAAAAAAAGAGGATGGATTAAAATTCATAGATATAATAAATAACACTTTAAAAAACAAATGAGAAAGATGGATTAAGATATTGAAAAGCCTAATGATTATTGCTTGAAAAAGATGAAAACTATATGTAAAATGTTAAACATAAAATTTAATAAATAATACGTAAACGGAAATATATATATATATATATATATATCCGTAACCATCTGTAACCACCTGCAACCGCCTGTAACCACCTGCCACCACTCGTAACCACCTGCAACCGTATCCAGCTATAGCCACCTCCAACAACTTACAACCACCCGTAATCATCCGTAGCCTTCGTGCAACCATTTGTAATCTTCCGTAGTTATCTGTAACCATCTGCGATCATCTGAAACTGCCTGTAACCACCTGTAATCATCCGTAGCCACCTGCAACCTTCTGTAACCACCTACAGCCATTTTGTAATCACCTGTAATCATCTGCAACCACTTGCATCACTCGTGACCATCTGTAACACCCGCAACACCTACATCCTCCTGCATGTACCTGTATTCTCATATAACTACCTGTAGCTACCTGCAACCCTGCAACCATTCGCACTACCTATATCCATATCCAGATAGTTACTGTATCAATACCTATATGGAATGTTTGTGCCTGTATGATAATAATTACTCTATTAACGTCTGCATGGAATGGTTGTGCCTAAATGATGGTAATTATTGTATCAACATCTAAATCGAACAGTTATACCTAAATGATGGTGACAACCATGTCAACACCTAATTTATCCATTTGTACCATAACCCTTATTACTTTGTATTTCTTGATCAAACTGAATATGTCTTACTTCCTTATTCACCTTCTTTGTTTGTTTGTATATTTATTTGTTTATTATGACTTTGTATTTTATTAATTCGCCAAAATAACACCAAATATTTATTTACCTAATAACTTTACGAAAAAAAAACATTATAAATTAATTAACTCCAGTGGGTTACAGTTGAAGCGAAGCAAAAAATATTTCACCAACGTCGTCTACTTTTTCACGACAGAACCGCCATCGTTGTTCATGTAGAAAAAACTGTGTAGCGTTTAACATCTTCCTTTGCTGAAGATGTAAAGATTTTTGCACTGGCAATCATCTTGAAGAAGATCGAAGTTACACTTTTATATCAACCTGCATCACAGCAGGACTATCATCATTCCCACATTACCGTAGGTGAATCAGAGCTTTAATCAGTTCAATAGTTCAACTATTCAAGCGGACTCATGACACTGGATGCTAAAATCAAGAAAGAAAGAGATTAACAAGTTAGCAAAGACAGATAGAACTTCCGGGAAACTTCAGCATAGATTTTGGTGCATAAAAAGTTGAAGAGAAGTACAAAAATTAATATATTCAAAACTACTGTACTGTCTATTTTTTTTACATCGGTTTGAATCACCAGTCATTTACCGTTACTATCTCCATTTCTCGAACGTTCCCACCAGTGATGTCTCCATGCAATCCTAAATATTTATTGATCTGACTACGTAACCTACGTGACCAATATTAATATTTTCGAACAGGTAGGTACCAACTAGTATTGAAGTAATGCTATTGAGGATGCAATTGTACTAAGCTGGACACGTCGCCAAGATGGAAGATAACCACTTTCCTAAGTTCTATGGCGAACTCATCACAGGCTTCCACAAAAAAAAGAGCCAATGTACCTAAGCTTTGGCCATAAAAATTACCAACAATATCCTATTCTGACCTTCCAATCTGGTGAGAGAATAGCACATCATCCAGGTGTTGCTTACTTTGAAAGTACATATACACACACAATCAACTGGGAGGATAAAAGATAACGCAAAAAAAATCATTCCTCGTTAAATACCACCTAAGAAGACTTTCTGTTCTGCCTTTTGTAATCGAACTTTTCTCTCCAGCATTGATCTTCTGAGCCATTAGCGCATTTGTAGCAAGTACCAAAGCTTCGTCCCCAAAGTTTAGTCTACAACAATCGAGAGTTGTTGTTAGAAAGTAAAGTATCTTTCATCGAAGATACTCATCAATGATGTTTTACCATCAAGTATCTAACTTATAACTATATTAAATGAGCAAAATAAAGTGTCTGAAAAACGATCCCAAGAATTAAAAAGAAATCAACTTCAATCTGAATGTTTTGTCGTTCAATTCCAACTTGAATCTTTGGTCGTTTAATTCTAACCAATGTGAAATAAAAAGTTTTTATTCGAAGTTATTCGAAAAAGTTTTCATCCGAAGTTATTCGAAGTTCGAGCATTCCTGACATTTTTAAAATTCTCTGTGTCACATTGTTCTTCATTACATCGATGACATAATCGTTTGGTTCAACCTTCTGTTTTGCATCGTTTCAGTTCAGAATGGAATTTTTTCTTCATTCATCTAAACGCTTCTGACCAAATTCAACAGGATCGTTGGGACAGTGAGTATTTCTCAAATGACTTTAATATTCTTGACCACTGTGATTTGGAGTTAATGCTTGGCACAGATATGGATACATATAATAGTGAATGATTTAGAATTACCGGATGTGATGAAGATTTGAATAATGACATTTTATTCGATCCCTTACGGATTCTTGATTATATTCGATTGGTAAAGTTGAGGATATAAGCAATAAAGAAACGAAAACCGGTACAGATCTCGTCATTGTCGTGCGAGAACATTTCAATAAAGACAGTACTAAGAGCAAGTTTTTTTCTTTTTTTTGGTTCAAATATATGCAAAAACAAGCAAACAGCTTTTCGTTCTCCAAATTCATCGAAATGTGATTTGATAAGCTTATTTCGTGCTACTGGTAAATTTGTGCTTAATTTTCAAATTACGTTAATTAATTGCCAAAGGCAATATAAATGTCATAACAAGAGTTCATCACATGAAAAAAAGCATATATGTGCATATCCGGGATTAAATTGAAAAAAAGAAAATTAGAGGCAAAAGATGACCATAGTTTAATACCGTGCTGTAAAACTTACTATGATATACTTGGACGAAAGTACGTTGACATTTTGCTTGGATTTAATTTGAAAAATGGAATGCTTTTGAAGAAAATGAGGGAAGATGAATTTTGATTTCTTCAAATTTCAATTCATTTAGATGCATCCTGAAATTCATCATTCCCAAGCTTTTGGTGCACACGTTCATCTCACAGTTTCCATTTGTTTCTTTTCTTTTTTTTTTTGCAATTTTGCTTACTGAATCAAACGCTACTGATAACAACTCGCGTGACCATCAGACCATTATTAATTTCCAAGACTTTGACCAAGTTATACCTCAAATTCAAAAATGCTTCTCACAGGACTTCATTTGTTCAACCTCTTCGAGAAAACTAAAGCAATGAAACTCGAATAAACCAACTAATCACTAAACTGCCAATAATCTTCGTGAAGACTATTGCACTGCATCCCATCACTTCAAAATTTTCCTGTGAAAAATGTTTTATTGAAACCCTAGAAAATATTGAAATTCTACTTGACGAATTGCTTTTTGCATGCGAATTGCAAAGTAGCTGTATGCACGTCACAAAATCACAGTTGATTTCCAAAAACACCTTCCAATGCATAGTTTCAAAGATCGTCGTTTCAGATTTCAACTCCAATACCTTTCCATTATTTATTTATAATCAGAGATACTCGATATTCCACCCATTACAAAATTTAAATCTTCATTAAATATAAAGAAGAGATCAGAAGCTCTAAGCTTGTTAATGAATTTCAGTGAAAATTTGACTGATACACTTAGTTGTTTTTTCGCTTTGTCGTAAACAAAGCATTACTAAGAAATTTTCGCAATCACCAAATATTCGTGAAAGAAGTTGTTCCCGCCTATTTCGATTTGAGATGACAGCAAAAGTTACAAATTCAAACTCCTAACAAAATTCATTTGATATCGAGGATAATTCCAAGTCTAATTTCTGTGATATAATTTCATTGTCAAATCCCTGAAGAAATCATGCAATTTCTTTCACGAATGAAAGGAACGATATTTATTCACTTAATTCATTTTTTGGAAGTACTGGCGTTTCATACTCTACTTCATGTTTTATTCATAATTTCATTTCATTGAGAAAAAAAGTTATAAATTTTAATTTATCTAAACACAGTTAGTCTCAATGGACAGAGCAATCTATCATTTGAAAAAGATTTGAAACTAGAAAAAAGACAAAAGAAGATTTGAAAATTAGCATCAATAAAAAGTATCAACGAAAACACTCTGTGTTTAAAATCTTCTAGGAGAATGAGCTGAAAGAGTAAATATCAAATTTCTTCCATTCGACAACATTTTGACAGTGAAATTATATCACAGAAATTAAAGCTAAAATTATCCTTGATATAAAATGGATTTTATTGGAAGTTGTGAATTTATGAGCTTTGTTGAAATAAGCCTCCATTCTTTTACAAATAATATTCCTTGATTTAGTTTCCAATAATTTCGTTGTAATGCTTTATTTATGATAAAATAAAAAAATAGCTAAATGTACCAATCGAATTTTCATTGAAATTCATTGGGAAGCATTGAGCTTCTGACGCCTGCTCGATTGGGTGATTGATCCAATCGTTTAAGCATCCATAAAATTCACTTATGTTTCATTAATAAACAAGTGAAATAAGCTTCGTTTCATCTATAGATGGCGCACCCACCATGTCAACAATAACAGCTTTTCCAAAATTCCCAATTCTTTTGGGTTAAAATATTTTGAGAATGCTAGATTCGAACGTACACCTACACGTAAAAGTTTTGAAATATAAACAAAACAAAAAAAAAACCTACTTTTCTGTTGAGATCTAATTAGCAGAAAACGCAAAAGTGATGGAAGCTGCTAGTACCGTCACTACTGAAAATTCAGAATCGAATCAGCTTTAATTCTTTAATTTTTTGGATAACTGGACTGGCCATTACACCACAACATTTATATATGTTTCTAATTCACACAGGTGGGCTATGCCAATAATAAATAATCCGCTTCCAACTCAATTTCTCCCTGAAATTTTGAAATTAACAGAATGTCTTTGTATGGCAAGGACTCAATGTTACTTGATGTTAGGGATCCCGTGCTTAAATAATTCCCAATGAAACCATTGAAAGCAAAAACAAACTTGGTGATGAATCATGCAAAAGGAAAGTGAGTGAAAAAAAGAAAAAAATAAGAAAAAAATATAAAGATATATCTAAAAATAAATATATTTAAAAATAAAGCTTGTAATAAAATATGTAATAATAAAGTAAGTGAACGACATGCAAAAGTAAAATAATCAATGGTGTGTGGAAACAAATTAGATAAAAGGCATGCAAAAATAAAAAATGCAAAAATAAAGCAATAAAATATGTAAAAATAAAGCAAGTAAAAGGTATGCCAAAATAAAGTAAATAGTAAAATATGTAAAAAAAGTAAATGAAAGGCATGCAAAAATAAAATAAACATGATAAGCACAAATAAAGGAGATAAAAGGCATGTAAAAATAAACTTGATGATGATCCATGCAAAAGAAAAGGAAAGTGAGTAAAAAGAAATAAAGAGAAAAATGAAGAAAAAATGGGAAGATATATTTAAAATAAATGCATTTAGAAATAAAGC